GTCTCCAGGAGTTGACAGTCCTGGGAGTTGTTTCAGAGGTTTTTGGGTGTGCTTTTAGGAACCATGTTTGGCTCAGGAGTATATGGCAGGAAAATAAACACAGATGTGAAGTTGGGCGGTACATTGCCACTTGCAATAAAAATCAGGATCCTCTTTCTGAAAAAGGAGAATGGATATTGTAGACAACTAATAAACTCTCTTAGTTAGATTTGTGTCTGTGATGATCTTCTCCCAACTTTTTAGGGTCTTTAGACTTGCATAGCTTCTGATTTTAGCTGGGGAATTATAGAAAAGGTCGTGTATTTGAGGGTTTTGTGTATTGAGGACCTGGCAGTGTGCTGGGCCCTATTCCATACATTCTATTATAATGACCTTTACAATAGACCTTTGAGACAGATATCCTTGTTGTCTGTCTTTTATTGATGAGGAAACTGAGGTTGGGAGCAGTCACATAACTCACCCAAGGTCACACAGCTAGTAAGTGGTAAAGATTGGGTTTCAGCCTGGAATGTTTAGACTCCACAGCCAGAGCCTCTCTGTTTTTCATCATCTTCTCTTAGCCTTAATAGAAATAGTAAGTGGTGGTATTGGTTTCTTGGCAGATTGCACACACCATCTCTAAGCTGGCCTCCTAGCCCGTACTTCCTCACCTGGCACCCATAGCCACTGTGTAGGCTTCATCAAATCTGTACTTTTCTCCTCTTTTTTTCCCATAAGCATTGTGTTTACTCTATATATTGGCAGGAGAGACTGAAAAGGAAATGCAGAAAAAGCATCTAACGGTTTTCATAACGTAAACCAAATGTTGGTAGCGTGGGTGAGCTCTTGGGAGGAAAGGCGCTATATAAATCTGACAAATAAATAAATAACTGGTTCTTTAAATAAACTGGCACTGTAAAAAGCCTTACTCAGTAGTCCATCTTCCTTTGCTCACCAAATGTGAGTTCATTATGCTTGAGCTCTGTTGGGGTCATGGGCCACAGTGGGAGGGAAAGGAGGCCGGGTGGAGGCTGGGTAGAGACCGGCTGCTCCTGGATTCAGAACGATCGCCTGCCTCAGTAAAGAAGCAGCGGCTTTGTCCAGGCTATTTTATGTAGACAACACATTCTTAGATACTTCAAAAGCATTGCTGTGAGGGGAACGGGGTTCAAATGAAGGTCAGTGAGTAAAGTTCACAGAATGTATTTTGAGGACAAGAACTGCATTACTTTACTTAATCTCTACAAATAGGAACAATTACAGCAATGAATTCTGCGAGACTCTTTTCTTCCAAATATGTTGGGTTGATGACCTACCCCCAAGTTCCCCTTTGCTACTCCTGCTTTTTCAAAGCAAATCAGTGCTGAGCAAACCCCAGTTACAGAAGCTGCCCTGCAGATCCCAAGCCTCGGAGCTTCATGTGTCCTTAGAGTATGGGGTTGAGGGGTGGCCGGTGCCCATGTGGAAGGACCTTTTCCTGCAGAGGCTATCCCAGGCCACTCTAGAGTTTCATGCTGGAAGGTGAGAAGATGAACACTAATCGGAAGTGGGGCCATCAGACCTGCCAGCTGCAGAGGCTCTGGTTACAGAACTGAGAGGTACAGGCCATTTTGGAGCCATCAGAGGAACTGATTTGTGGAGGTCACCTTTGAAGTTGCTAAGATGGTGGCAGAGGGGAAAAGGAGAGAAAAGGGAAGGTGGGTGCCCTCATTACTCCTCCTCCTAAGTAGCCTAAGTTTGGGCACTTTATAAAAATAAAGCCTTAAGAATAGCTTTTTGAGTTTCCTTTCTGAAAGACTTCCCTTCAGGTTTTGCAGCATGCTGCTGTGCCTGAATTCTAAATGTCAAGATTCAAAGTGAGTTGCAAATTTTCTTGTCTTCAGAGACCCTTGCAAGGTTTCCTTAAATAATAGCAACTTTGAAAATCTAGTTCCTGATGAAGTTCTGCTGTATGGCATGCCTGTCCCTTGTGAAAGGCTCTGGGCCCGCTGAACCTTACGCAGTTACTAAAACACATTGAAGACATCTGCCAAGCAGATATGGGTACTTTTGGTGTCTGGGTTAAAAGGATAAGTACATATAAAATTGCTCAGGGATCGTGTTATAAGATTATTTTATGGCTCTATGCCAAACATGGTGGCACACACCTGTAATTCCGGCTTCTAAGGAGGCTGAAGCAGGAGGACTGCTAGTTTGAATCCAGCTTGCCAATTTAGCAAGACCCTGTCTCAAAATTTTAAAAAGGATTGGGGATGTAAAAGTACCCACAGGTTCAATCCCCAATACTGGGGGGAAAAAAAACATGCAATGCCGGTTGCAATGGAATGATAGCCACCTAAGAACATGCTATGACGTGCTACACCCCCTGATCTGAAGCGTGTTTTATCTGCACCCAGATCTCTGCAGTTTAAGATTTCAAATCTTGATGTTCTAGAAATCTGTTGGCCACCTGTTGCCACAGACTGATTTAAATCTAAGTCAAGTTATTTGATTAAAGCTATTCAAAGGATTCAGCTAAAAGTAGAGTAACACTAGTGTTTCAGAATTATATTGTTGGTTTTATTAAAAACTCATCAAGGAACTGAGGGTGAAGCTCAGAGTGTGTTTAGCGTATATGAGGCCCTATATTCAATCGTCAACACTGAAAATAAAAACCCTGTTTGAAATTAGTTGTTATAAATCATTCATTACTTCTCAAACCCTGATTCCTATTTTCTACCTGAGAAAACCACGAATGCTTCTCTACGTACCCAGAGGTTAGTGCCTCATGCAAATGTCATGGATTGAGGGTCTCGTCAAGCCACACTCTAAAAGCCTGTCCCTGTCTGTCAAAGATCAGGACCTATGGCAGAAGCCAGGCTTTATAGATATGATTGTGTTTCACCGGTCCAGAAGCTTTGGGAGGATAGTATATCCTCACGTCACAGATAGGGAAACAAAGCCAAGACTCTTTGCTCTGTCACTTCCCTAGTAAGTAGCATCACTTGAGGGTCTCAGGCTTTCCTTCCCTCAGCAGGGAGGGCAGTTGGCACACAGCTGGATTTATCTGACAGCTAAAAGGCATCAAGGATACTCACTGATTAGTAATCATAACAAAAGGCTTTTTATTGGTTTTTTTTTTTTTTTTGAGAGAGAATTTTATTTATTTTTTAGTTTTCGTTGGACACAACATCTTTATTTGTATATCGTGCGGAGGATTGAACCCAGGCCTCACGCATGCCAGGCGAGCACACACTACTGCTTGAGCCACATTCCCAGCCCTTTATTCTTACTACAAAAACAATGCTTGTTTATGTTTAAACCATAGATGGGCAAAAAAGAAAAATCACCAAAAATCATAGTTCCCCAAAGCAAGCAGCATTAACATGTAGGTGTAAATCTTCCCACCATTTTCTATGACTGCCATAATTTTTTTTTATTTTAGTAAAACTTTGATGTTCTATGAATTGTTTGGCAATATTTTGAAAATCTTTCCAGGTTCCTATGTATTTGCATAGTACATTGTATGTAATGGTTGCTTTCACTTAAGTGGTTATATCACAATGTACTTTTGGCCAGTTTCCTTGTTAGACATTTGTGTTAGTGGCCATCTTTGTAGCTTTCTCCAATCTGATTCAAGTGACATTTATGTGCCAGGCACAGACTTATTAGCTACTTGCTTATCCTCCAAGGAAAAAATATTTCTCTTTTTATTTTGTACTTTTTTTTATTACTAGTGAACTTAAATTTTTCATTTGTTTATGACCATTAATGTCTCTTAATGATTTTCCTGTTTATGCCCTTTACCCATTCTTCTCTTCTGAAATGTTAATCTTTTATTGGTTTTTAAAAGCTATGACATTAACATTGTCAGAGATTTTTCCCTGGTTTTACTTTTGGTTTTGGTTTTGATATTTTCTGACTATTATAGATTTCTCCACCACCACCACCAAATTAATGTTTTTCTTTTGGTTTTGTTTCTGCTATTTTTTTGGCTTGTAGAAATTTATACAGTGAGATATATCCATGTTTATCTTCATAGTTTCTACTGTTAGTATGATACTTAGAAGTTTCCCTCACTCCAAAATTATTTAAGTTTTCATATCTATTTACTTTGGTATTATGGTTTCACATTTTACATTGAAATCTTTTATCCATTTGAAATTTATTTTGGCATGTGGTATTAAATGGAATCTAACTTTTTTCTCACTAATTTGAAATGCCAACTTTAACAAGTAGTAAGTTTTGGAATATACTTGACAGATTTTGACTTTCTATTCAATTCCTTTGATCTGCCATCAATTTTTCACTCCTACCATCAGTGTTAATTATTATAGTTTTATAATTTGTATCAACATGTAGTGGGTCATTATTTCTTTCTAAAATTTTTTCATCTTTTAAATAAAGGTTAGAATCACTTTGTCAGGTTGATTGGGAAAGTATTTACTTTTATAGAATAATTAGAAGTGATTCAACAGCTTCAAAGTCCTAACTACTTTTTTCCTTTTTACCTAGATCTTTCTTTGCCACAGAAAACAATTTCAAGATTTTATTCTTATGTGGTCTGCACATTTGCTGATTATTCCATGACTTTGATTGCTGATATGACTGGGATTTTCTTTTCTTTTTTAAAAATACATTTTTAACTAGAGCTAATTTGTATTCTTCAGTCTTCAAAAAATTCATTCTATTCTATATGTAAAAGAGAGTAAATGAACTAGTGAAAAAATATGTGTATTTTAGTGGTAGTTGCAAATACTTGGTCTTATATAGTTAGATATGTAACCTGGCTCATAATCTGTACAGATAGACTATACATTAAATAAATGTAGGAGATTGTCACATCATTGCTTTGATTATTGTTGTTTTGCCTCCCCACCAACTCAGGATTGGAAGTGTGTAATGTAATTTTGGGAAAAGGGTAAAATGTCCAAAAATATGGATTAATAAGTAGTTTCATTAATCTGAACCTCTAGTCCCCAATACTCTAAGTAAATATCATAATGTCTCTATTAAACAATTTAACTTCTTTCTTCTTACAGATTTCAGAGACAACTGTCTGAACCCTGCCATCCCTTCCCTCCCCAGTCGGGAGTCCCTGGAGATAATCGTCCCAGTTACCACCGACAAATGTCAGAACCTATTGTCCCTGCAGCTCCCCCACCCCCTCAGGGATTCAAACAAGAATATCATGACCCACTCTATGAACATGGGGTCCCTGGAATGCCAGGTCCCCCAGCACATGGGTTCCAGTCACCAATGGGAATCAAGCAGGAGCCCCGGGATTACTGCGTTGATTCAGGTGAGCATAAAATCATGCCATTTGTTTCTTCATTCTCATATGTATCTGTCTGTTCCTTATTGAGTGACTTTTGTCTGTAGAATCTTGAGGAATAATAATTTTATAAGAATTGCCTTCATGCTGGGAACAGTGGTGCATGCCGGTAATCCCAGCAGCTTGGGAGACTGAGGCAACAGAGTTGCAAGTTCAAAGACAGCTTCAGCAGTTTGGCAAAGGCCTTTGGCATCTTAGTGAGACTCTGTCTCAAAATACAAAATAAAAAGGACTGGGGATGTCCCTCAGTGGTTAAGTGTCAATCCCCTGTACCAACAAAACAGGAATGCCTTCAAGGGCTGGCAGTATATAGTTCAGTTGCAGAGCTTGAAGCCCTGTATTTGATCTTCAGCACTGAAAAAAATACAAATAAAAATAAATTGCCCTCTAAGAACTTAGGAGTTAGTAAAGCAAACATGGTTATACGTAATTGGATACAGAACAGAGCAGCTGTGCTGATGGTAGGAAGTGCAGTAGGCATTCAGAGATAGTGCAAAGTGCACCTCCGAGTTAAGCCTTAAGATTTCTGGGGTATAGTCTCCCATTTAAGGCCTCTTAGCTATAGGCTCACTGGACACAAGGAACACATTTTGTATTTTAGTCCTTTTTCCTGGCTTTGTTTTTTATTCAAAAGACCTATTAAAATCCCAATGTAACTCTAAGAAAGAGTCCACATTTAGGACCTGGTTCTTTCTATTCTTAAAATAGTGCTAAGAAAGCACCTAGTATTGCATAGCAATTTGGAGTACTGGTATACCATGCAAAAGATTGTTTTGTTGGTTGCTTCTTGGAATTCACTGCTCTGTTGTAGCACTGGTAACTAGGAAAGCTGTGTCCTTCAGCAGAAAGGTATAACATGAGGACAATTATTGTTTGGTTAAAGGATTCCTCTTGCCTAGGAACTTTAGCATTTCAAAAAATTTAAACTGTACACAGGGAAATTCTCCTTCCCCAACCACTCATTTATTCCCTATGTGTCTTAGATTTAGGCTTATTAGATGAAACCACTGAGGAAAGGAGAATTGGAATTTTGTAGCTTGCAACATTTAGGAACTATGTTTCCTCCTCTTCATTTCCCCTTTAACTTTACTAAAACTTTTTCACTTTTTTTTTTTCTTGCAGATAAAAGAATCCGAGGATAGTTTATGTATTTTTAACCTTTCCTTTGGGTGCTTTGCTTTTCTTTTTTTGTACTGGGCATTAAACCCAGAGGTGTTCCACCAATGAGCCACAATCCAGCCTTTTAATTTTTTTTTTTAAGACATTTTTACTAAGTTGCCCAGGCCAGCCTTGAACATGCAATTCTCCTGCCTCTGCTTCCCCAGTAGCTGTGCTACTGTACTTAGCTATTTGTATGCTTTTCTTAAGACCCTGGGAAAGGTCATGCTATCCATATGGAATATGAATAGCTTTCACATATGGAATGGGATATAGAATTTGCCTTGGTCTTCACTGAGATTACATATAGATTGCTCTATTTAAGCAGAAATTGGTTAAGGAAAAGATTGGGGACAAGGGCAGAGGGAGATACCTGTTGATTTATGACAGAAAAATTAGGTAGTGATAACTTGCAAAAATGTCCACTAGTATTCCTCTTGAAGGCTTTGATGTATTTTTCTTAGGAGTAGACATAACCAGAGACCTTTTTCCCTTGGGGATTGATATTTTAATCAACCGTGATAGGCTTTTCACCCTACCCTACTCACTTGAAGCAAGACATTCAACAATGTTACCATATCTCTAATTCTTGAATCTGAATAGTGGTGTCCCTGGGTGAAGGCTTGTCCCACATAGGCACAGCCCAGTTCACTTTTCCTCTCATGGACTCCTTGATGTACCATGAGGCCTGAAGAAAAGATCACCTGAGTATGAGTGGGTTTCAATATAACAGACTCAATGTGACAAAAACTAATGCTTACCAAATTGCAGTCCCCACTCCTGCCAGTTCTTGTCCTGGCTTCTTAACTTCAGATCCCCTAATCCCTTTGGCCCCAAAATACCCTCATCCCTTGAAGCTAAATGAGACATGACAATCAATAGTAAAAGGGAGCAAGGTGAGAATGATCTAAAGCAATCTTCTTCCTTTACTCTCCATAAAGCATAGGAGACCAAGTTCAGCCTTTTGAAAGTTAATTTTTCTCCCATTAATTCTCTGGCCATATTTGGTGTTAACTTGTTTCTAAAATGTGTGGATTAGTAGGGCAAGGCATCATCTTTTTTTTTTCCCCTTCTGTGACTATTGAGAAGAGTCTTACTTTCAGATGGTGGATTAAGTGTTTCCCATGTTACTTATTGGGATGATACCACTTTCTTAGGACAAGACCAGAAGGACTTGACCCTGGAGCAGAAAGTTTAGGGACTTTACTACCAAGCTGATCCTGTGTGCTGCTTTTCCTACAGAACCTTTTGACAGGAGTCTTGTGTGTCTCTGTTTCCCTTTCAGAAGTGCCTAACTGCCAGTCATCCTACATGAGAGGGGGATATTTCTCCAGCAGCCATGAAGGTAAGAAATTTTCTTTTTTAAAATATACTAAACTTGGGGCTGGGGCTGGGGTTGTGGCTCAGTGGTAGAGTGCTCACCTAGCACATATGAGGTCCTGGGTTCGATCCTCAGCACCACATAAAAATAAATACATAAAATAAAAGTATAAGAAAATAAATATATATATATATATATATTTTTTTTTTAAACTTAAAAGTGCTATTTCCAGACTGAGGTTTGAGATAATAGGTTAAACTTTTTTAGCTAATGAGTGTGCATGCTGATTGATCATAATCTTCAGTTATCTTGCACATAGGGTCTGAGTCATGCTCCTAAGCACTTGTGAGGGCTGCCATCATTTTTAAAAGCAGTGACCCTAACTTTTAAGAGTTCACAGGAGAATATGGGGGAAAAAAGGGAAGTTGATTGATGTCCACATTTCCAGACCGATCAGCCTAAACTAGAACTTTTTAATTAGGTCAGTGAGGGTAATCCAAGGACATGTTAGAAAACAATTTTAAAATGTGTTTCTAGGTTTGATTTAGTTTGGGTGGCTAGCTTTTTCTTGAAATTATTACATAATAAATGGTTGCTGCTTTTAACATGGGAGAAAAATTTGAGGTGTTCTTGGCAAATAAGATGTGTAGATGTTCTATAGCATATGGCCCAAGGAGGTGGTCAGATGGAGCTAGAAGCTCAGTTTCCTGGAAGAGCTTGCTTTTGACCTTGTTTTACTTAAAATATAAACTTCTATAGCTTCTTGTCACAAGTAATAATAGTTACACAAAATTTAGCAAATACAGACAGACAAAAAATTTAATAAAAATTAAATTTCATTGTCCAGAGATCACCATAAACTTGCTATGTAAAATCTTCCATTTTTTTTCTTTGCAGACATAAATATTATACAGATCATACCAAGATTCATCATTTTATACTGTTCTTTCTTTTAACAATAGTCATTAACTCAATGAATGCTTAATGTATTTCAAATCCTGTTCTAACTTCTTTAAATGTGTTGATTTTAGTCATTTAATCCTTTCATTACTCCTAGAAGACATATATTCCTATTAGCCCCATATTATATGAGGAAACTGAGGCTCAGAAGTTTAGGAGTTTGAAAGGTTTGCTCAAGGTCATATGACTGGATAGGTAAAGCCAGAATTCTAAGCCAAGGCGTCATCACCCTCCACAGTGTACAGCCAGTGTAATTGCTATAACTTCCAACATCCTCCTTGATTGCATCTGTAGTGGCAGCACAGTATTTATTATGGGTATGCATTTAGCTGATCACCTCTTGCTGAAAATGTACATATTTCCAGATTATTCTCAGAATAACCAGAAATAAACGTTCACCTAATTAAATCTTTTCACGTTCCCTTGATTAATTCTTGAAGCTAAATCCCTGAAATTTCTGGGTTAAAGGAATGACATTTTCAAGGCATCTGCTGCCAGTGTTTGTGAGGGCCTGTGTTTTGTTGTTGTTTGTTTTTAGGGCATCAACACAGATTTTTTTTTTTAAATCTAGAATTTCTTTAAAGTAGTAATTAGATGGGAACGCAGAGGAGGAAGGGGGCCTTTTGTGGGGGGAGGATAATTGAGCTGTCAGAGCTGCAAGGATCATTTGCTGAATAGCTCCTGCATGAGTGGATGACAATAGCAAATCAGCAGGCTCATTTGATGGAAAGGAGCACTGTTGAGGACTGAAGTCTGTGGGGCATGAAAGGCCTTAAGAGGTAGGCTCAGGGCTTAAAAGTTACCTTTCTGGGCAAAAACACTACTTGAGGTGGTAGGTTTAGGATTTCCCTGAAATAAGGAAGGTTTTTTTTTTTTTTTCCCCTTAGAACAGCTTCCCCAGAAGTGTGTCTTCTTGTCTATTAAATAGCATTTCTTCTTAAATATCTAGAGCAGTGTGATTCCCCATACCTGTGGCATCTGCTTCACCTGGAACTTGTTGGAAACACACATTCTCAAGACTCATTTTAGATCTATTAAATCAGAAACCCCAGAATGAGGCCCAACAGTCTATTTTCACAAGGCCTTCAGGAAATGCACCTCCAAGTGTAAGAACTAAAGTAGTGATTCTCAACTTGGCTGCATATTAGAATCACCTGGGGAGTTTAAAAAAAAAATTATGTTCTGCCTTCATCAAAGCAATTAAATCATAAATTCTGGGGTGGGCCAAGCATGGTGGCACATGCCTGTAATCCTGGAGGCTCAGGAGGCTGATGCAGGAAGATAAAAGGTTTGAGGCCCTAAGCAACTTAGCAAGACCTTGCCTCAAAGTAAAAAGAAATTTTTAAAAAGGGCTGGAGATGTGGCTCAGTGGTTGAGTACCCTTGTTTAAAAAAAAAAAAAAATGCTAGCGTGGGTTCAGGTGCATGTAAGATTGAGAACCACTGATCTCTGGCATTTTAGGCGGAAGATCTGATACTCCTGAAGCATTGGCTGATTTTTACAGGTGATTAGTTAACAAGGGTGGTTCATATGAGTTTCCCACTAGTTTGGTTAGGTGGGACATCCTGGTGTGTTTCCTCTGGTTACCCTGTGAGGGTCCAGCCCTCCAAAGGAAGGACTACAGGACCACTGGCTGCGATAGGCACAGCTGTGCAGGGCTCTCTTCCAGGTTCCTGAATGTCTCTACAGAAGCAATTGATGTTTGCAGCAGGCAAACTAGGAGGGAGTGAGGGAATAAGGGAGGAAAACATTTTACTTAATTACAACATTTAGCAAAGAGCATGCTCTTAAAGGAAATATTTTTAGTAAGACACTGGGTTGCTTACTATACGAAGACTATCTGGTGAGTTTGTGTGCGTTTTCTCCCACTCTTTCCCATTCCTTTCCCTGACGCAGTGCATAGAAAAAAGTTTTTTTTTCAAAGATACCAGCATTTTTAATTGTTCTAAATAACCCTGGTATGGTTTTTCTATCCTTATACGTGCTTGACCACAGATGCCTGTGAAACAGTTAGCAAAACAAGTGTTTCTGATTGGCATCTGTGATTGCTAAGATAGCCTTCCTGCCTTAAGCCTTCACCTGGAATCCTTGCAGAATGTTTTGAATCTTTCATTTCCACTTTACCCCTCAAACAAGTTCTTCCTTCCTGCCACCTTTATTTGAGTGATTAGCTGGTTGTGGCCACAACTGAAATAACTGATGGTGTAAATTCAACTGACATAAATTTCACTTAAACCAAGAGCATCTTCCAGATGTTTTAGAAGACCACATGTGGCAATAACTAGAAACCACAAAATGATTACTCCTTACAGGCAGTCCTTCATCTGATTAGTTTTAAAAACCAAACTGAGAATTTAATCTAGCCCCCCCCACCCTACACACACACACACACACACACACACAGTAAATGTATTATTCTTACCTCAAGAGGAAGAAAGGTTCTAAAAATAACGTAATAGTTTTGACAGGTGTGTAAACTTTGAAGTAGTTCACTTATAGTGTCTTTATAATGAAACCATTAAAAATCATGTATTTATCAGGAAACAAACATATAGGTTCCTAGCAACCAAGGTAAAAAAAAATGATACAGATAAGATTGTGATGTAAAGTATACCAACTTATCATAAAAGTCAAACAGGTTTCTAATACCAAATTGGAAAATAAATTGATCAGGACTCGATAAATCTCTGATTTAAAGGTTAGCATTGTTTTCTTTTCCTTAATGAAGACTGTGGAATCTCCTATTTATTCAAATATTTATTGAACACTTCTGTCTGCAAGTGCTGTGAGGACACTACTCAGTATGTGGTCCTTCTTAAGGAGTTTCAACTCCATTATAGAGACTGTTACGAGAAGGCTCTCTCACTGTCCAGTTAATTTCTTAATAGTAATTATCCCAATTGCAGATATTTTTTAAAGCTATCATTTATTATAGGAGCTATTCTTAGTGCTCTGTTGTAAAGAAATAAATCAGTGGAATAGACTATATATTAACTCATTAAATTCTCATAACAACCTACAGGGTAGGAATTATTCTCTTCCCCAGACTTTCTTGTTGAGGAAACTGCAGCACAGAGGGATTAATGTATTCAAAGTCACAGCTAATTGGGGTCCATCAGTTTGGCTCTGGGACCTGCATATTTTAACTTCCACACTATACTATGTCTTATTTCTTTTTATCCTTTTTCTCTGTCTCCCCCAGTTGAGACATAAGTTCCATGAGAACAAGAACCAAGTCTATATTGTTCTAACTCCTTATCCACTGGCCTCAATATTTAGTAGATTCAACAACAAATAAATGTCAGTAAAATACACTTCTTTTGATTTAGTTAAGCAACAGAGAAATCATGCCTAGAGCTAAGGAAACAAAAATCAATAATAAAAAACTCAAAACAATCTTTAGTTTCCTCCAAGTTGGGCCAGGCTTTTCCTAACCTCTTAAAATGGTGTTCTAGACCTGCCAAGAAGCTACTTGATTTGGGCAGACTGAAAAGAAGGAGAAAATAGTGGAATCATATCTTAGCTCCTTTACCCATAGATTTTTCAAGTCACAGTGAATCCCTCTCTGATTCTAATGACAGCCCTTTATCACAGAGTGCTTTCCCCTCCCTGTCCCCACTACATGTCCAATACACATTTACCTATACTAGCTAGGTGAATCGGCCAAGAACCAAACCCAGAGAGGAGGCATCCTTCGCCAGGTAGGATCCTAATAACTCTGAGACCAGCTAGAAAACAGAGGGTGGGATCCCTGAGGAGGAGGTATGTTAGCTGGCTTTGCTAGGAAGTCTCTTTGGATTTCTTCCACCCTGTCTGGTAATACCTCCAATTGGCTTTGCAACTTAGACTTTTTCACAATCTTCTATAGGCCCTGGTCTTTATTAAGTGAGCCATGTACTTTACTCCCCAATAAGGTATTTGAGATGTTTAGAGAACCTGGACAAGTTTATATGGAAGATTGAAATTAATATTAGCTAAAGGCAAATGGTGAAACCATGTACAGGTCTAATAAATATATCCGGCTAGGTTAACCAAAATAGATAAGATGTCTTTTCTGATCTAAGGGCACAGTCACAGCAACACTGACCCATGCAAACATAAACAAGATGTGACAGAACATTCTTGTGACTCAGCGCTTCCCTTAGTCTTAGTTCTGATAGCAAGAATTGATGCTGCTCTGACTGAGGCTCAGGTGATTACATCAGAACTCGAATGCCTTAAGTCCTTTTGAAGTCACCCAAAATTCAGGGCAACATAGATACAGCATAGGGCTTATGAGCTGAAGTAACCAAATCCTATTTTAGTCTCTAAATCCAGTTTTAGTATTACACAGAGAATCTATTAAGCAACATGTTCTTTCTCTTTCAACTCCTTCAGGTTTTTCATATGAAAAAGATCCCCGGTTATATTTTGATGACACTTGCGTTGTGCCTGAGAGACTGGAAGGTAAGCAGCCCATCCAAGGTTTAAGGCTAAATGAAAGGGTTGGAGATGTCAGAATTCCTCAAGCAGTCTCACCAATTGAAATGATTAAATCAGAATCGAACAACGTTCCTTTTTGTCCAAATCTCCAGAGAAATTCTGGACTAAATTCTTGCATATATATCTTTGTCCCAAACAGGCAAAGTCAAGCAAGAGCCCACCATGTATCGGGAGGGCCCTCCTTACCAGAGGCGAGGCTCCCTTCAGCTGTGGCAGTTCCTGGTCACTCTTCTTGATGACCCAGCCAATGCTCACTTCATTGCCTGGACAGGCCGAGGCATGGAGTTTAAGCTGATAGAACCAGAGGAGGTAAGCCCTGGACACTGGACTCAAATGAGTTTTGACTTGTGGTGGTTGATGTTTGTTATTTAGATCTCCGTTGAGGCTTTTTCCTGTATTAAGTATGCTCTTTATTCTGGCCTGGCCAGTGGGTTTGGCAGTACTCTTCTTTTTAATAAAACAATTTTTAATTCATGGACAGCCAGAGTTCTCCACTGTAAAATACATGAAAAGTTTCTAACCCTACTGCAAAATCAAGGAGTAAGGCCTTGAATATGTACATCCAAACAGGATATGTTCTGACTCTTGGAAAGTCTTTTTAAGTGTTGTTTCAGCAACACAGGCTTATTTTATGTCATATCTTATATCTGAGGTTTACATGGACATGTTATATGATATTTCAGTCATGTGCTACCCCACTATTTTTTTAAGTGTCTTTAACCCACGGAAATTAAATAATCAAGAGATAGGTCAGTCTTAGAAACTTGGATTTGGATTTTTTTTTTTTTTTGGTACTGGGAATTGAACCCAGGGGTACTTAAGCACTTAGCCACATCCCCATTTCTTTTTTTTTTTAAGATGGACACAATATCTTTATTTTTTAATTTATTTTATATGGTGCTGAGGATCGAACCCAGTGCCTCACACGTGCAAGGCAAGCGCTCTACTGCTGAGCTTTAACCCCTGCCCTCATCCCTTTTTCTGTGTTATTTTGAGACAGGATCTTGCTAAGTTGCTGAGGTTGGCCTCAAACTTGTGATCCTCCGGCCTCAGCCTTCTGAGTCCCTGGAATTATAGGTGTGCACCACTATGCCCAGCAGGAACTTCGTTTTTCTTATAGTGTATCATGTAGCATCACAATAGTTGAAGAAATGACACAAAACCACCATTATTTTATTAATAGAAGAAAAATGAAAGAAACAAAAGAAAGATTGTTGTTCTTTTCTAAGAACTATTGACAGAAAAACCTAGGACAGATCAGTGTCCTTTCTTTAGTGGAGAAGACATAATATAGAACCCTTTTTGGAATACCACATAACAGAATAATTAAATCAGTCTCTCAATGTAACATACTTCAAAGGGAGGTAGTGTTTTAATTTTGTTTGATTTATTATCTAGAGTTATTATAAATGGAAAAGCAATAACTGCCCCCCCAAAACTGACATTTCAATAGCATGAACTTTTAGGCATATGTGTTAAATCAGCAGAGCAAAAGATACCCTTGAGTTGAGTATAACGGAAATGGAAACAACACTCTTGGAAAGCATTTGAGCAAGGACTGCAGTTTTATTAGATGTTCAATTAACTCCAGGGCTCACTTTAGCACATGAAGGGGATAAGTTGGCACCAGGGTTAGCAGCAGGAGGTAACAACCTGGCACTTGGTTTGGAAGAATGAAATGGTCTGAAAGATGAAATCAGAAAAGGAAGAGAAAGTATGGGTTGGAAGCATGAAGAGTCCTGATTGGTAGAATAGGCAGACTTCATTAAAAGCAGTTTTTTAAAAAAAAATGTGTATGGTATTCTCTGCCTTGTTTGTATTCATTCATGAGAATGGATGTGTGTCCACATCCATTTCAGGTACTATAAACAGCCATTCTACCTTCAAAGCAATAGCTTGGTACTGCTGTGTTTTCCCAAGCATTTCTCTCTGGCTAAGTCATGTAGAAATGGACCATGTTTTAGGCTTCCAGCCCTCCTGGAGAGCCATCCGCTGCACATGGACCTATCCTTCCCCTCCCTTCTTTCCTAATAATGTGGCCTGGTTTATGTGAGGCTTGAGGAAAGCAAGTTACCTCAACTCACCAAGGCTTTTTGAAAGCAAGTCTGTCATGTGGGCAGCCTTATTGATTTATCTCATTTCACAAACAGGAGCTTTTATTACTTTATTGCCACTGCCTCAGGCCTAGCACGGGCTGTCCAGCTACAGGTAAAGCTGGTTATGACCCTTTGTAAAGCTGTTATTGAATCTTCTGCTCTCCTGCCAGTGGTAAAGAAAATGATGAACAGATGGCAAAGGGCCCCTGCTTTCTTACTTAATAAAGAAACTAATATTAATCCAGAATGTTCATAAATGCCAACCAACTGAGTTGCATGTGTGAGAGGCTTGTGGCAGCCTTAAGCCTCTCTATGTTGATTGGGCAGCTTTGTTTCTTCACGAATTGCTCTTCCCACCCCACCTGGAAGTTCCCAGGCATTCCACAAACTCTCAATGCTCCCTTAACCTTGGGCTGACTGAGTTCCTTGAATGTACTGTTAGTCTCAGGGCACATGACATTGCTGAGTTGTCCCCCTTACTCCTTGTGTAACTTTGAGGGCCCATTCTTGTTAATGTCAGGAAGATACCAACTCCTGGAAAAAGCTATAAGGAGTTGTCATGGGGGAGCTTGAAGGGTGAAGCGGAGGAGGAAGCTGTTGGGGACGTAATTGTAGGCAGCTGTGTGGCTGAGTAGTGCACTCTGGGTAATTATCCATAATATCCATTACACTGTGCATGGAAATTGTGGTTTTAAAACTGCGTTTTGGCAGGCCCCCTAATCAAATGTCTTTTGATAGTCATCCAGCTTAGCACCCTCTCAATTATGACTGACTCGGCTTTAATCTGGAGCCATTTTAACTGTGAATCTGCATTAATGAATATTTTGGGGGGTAGGGTTGTTTGTTGAACATGTGGCAGATAACTGATGCCTTGGGAGGTTTTAAAGGATGGGTTGCTAGAAAGAACCACTCCCTGTGCTGTGGCTGTTCTCTCTTTAAAGGGAAGGAGGGGATAGGTGGACTTTTTTTTTTTTAACTCCTTCTCAGCCTCAGTCTTTAAGATGTGTGTTCCCTAAGTTACTAAAGGGAGACATGAAAGAAAGAGCTGGCAATGATCTCTTGCCTGCTCCTCCCACTGCAGAAGAGGGGCAGCCCTCATTTCCAGCTGCTCTGGAGCTGTGCTGCATCATGCATTACTATAGAAGGAGCAGCAGTGGTGAGGGCCACTGAATCATAGGGCTCTGGCCTGGGAGGATGAGTCAGTAACTATGGCTACCAGAGCTGCTTTGAAATCTGTGCATATACAAAACCTCTCTCCAGTAAGCTATTGCATATGCAAGTGACAGCAAAGAGAGGTCAAAATTGAAGTTGAAGAATATTCAAAATTGCTTTCTGTTGGCATAGTAAAATAATGATGCTAGGATTCTTTGAAATTTACCCGTGTCACTTGGGGCAGACGGTGGTTAAAGATTAGTTTCAGAGAGTGTCATTTCTGTTGAACAGAGCAGAAGAACTTAGGTTGATGTAGCAGATTTTCCTTCTAAACCACTATTTTCCTTGCTTTAAAAATATTTATTCTCTGACCAAGATGTATTTTTGGTCAGTTTTGCCTTTTGGGCTGTTTTTAAGATGGAATTAAATGGGTGTACAATATGGGGACAGTATATGAGCCAAAGGGGCATGAAGCAAATAAATGGAAACATAACTTTCATGGGATTTTTTTACATGGCAGAGTAGAATCATTACTGTTGAACTATTCTAATTAGGACAAATGCATTCTTCCTTATAGATCATTTTTGGTATTTATTTTTTAAATTTTGTGGGGCTGTTTTGTTTTGCTTTGTTTGCAGTACTAGGGATTGAACCTAGGGCCTCACATGTGCTAAACAAGTGCTCTACCACTGAGTTACATCCCATCTCCTTTTATTATGAGACTAGATCTCTATGATGCCTAGTGTAGCCTTGAACTTGCAATCCTTCTGCCTTGGCCTCCCAAGTAGCTAAAATTGCAGGTGTGTGCATGTGTCCAGCTCATCTGTTATTTATTAAAGGTTTTATAATCTGAATTCAGAAAGAGTTGCTTTCGTTGTGTCAAAATAATTTAAGGAAATACTTTATGCGAAATGCTGTTTTCGCCCTACTTTCCTATTCCATGTTTAACATTTGGCTTTCAAAGATTAAAGGAATATATAGTTATTTTTTTTAAGTTACCAAAACTGACCTAAAATGTTCAAAATATGACCTGATTTGCGTTTAAAGACCTCTGAGAAAACCCACATTTCCAGGGCTATTTTTCTTCTGCCTCAACAGTCATCATCATAAGTAAAATTTTGGAAGTTGAGATACTTAAAACCAGAAATGCTTGACTGCCCTGATAATTGGGTAGACTCTAGTAAGAAGTTTTCCTGCTATAAGTCTTCTTTGCCAAAAGCTTCAATTACATCCCCCATCACTGTACCTCAGGTGTACTGGGTTAGATATAATGCACTTCAGAACTGTTTGTGAGGCCCTGTTAATTTTTCATTAAGTGGATAATGGTGCTATGTGCTTTAATGTCCATTCTGCAAGTCTTCTGGGAGCAGGGGATTGGATGGCAGAAGGCCGAAATGATCTGATTCCTCCTTAGTCCGTGAGCAACAATAAGTAAACATCTCCCGGCCCCTCTCCAATCTTATTAGAATTGAACTTTTGCTCTGCTTGCCCATTAGCAACTCACTAGTGTGTTTCTAATGTTTCAAGGATGACCATTCTAATTATTCCTTATTGACTGCTACAGAAACCATAGCACTTAATGGCAACATGTTAATGGTCTATGGGTATTGGTCAATAATTCATACGTGGAGAAACAGTAGAGAGCTTGCATCCTCTGGGACACTAGCCAAGCCCTCTGCAATCTTAAAGTGCTAGGATTCTTCTAGGTCTCACGGCCCAACAATTGTGACTGAATCATCAGCTTTGTTCAATGTTTGGTCTGAAGGGAATTAAATGCTTTCTTTTGTAGGTCAGAGAAATGGATCATTGGCCAAAGCAGGCAGGTTACAGAACTGGTGCTCCTGGGACTGGGAGAAAACCGTAGGCCCAGGGAATGTGTTTCCATTGCTCTTTGCTTTCCTTGTCTTTTCAGGTTGCTCGGCGTTGGGGCATCCAGAAGAACCGGCCAGCCATGAACTATGACAAGCTGAGCCGTTCTCTACGCTACTACTATGAAAAGGGCATCATGCAGAAGGTGAGCAATTACAAGAGACTCTTAGACCACTCTGATCAGTTTCAAAGAAAATGTCCAGGGCTTCTATAATAAGACTGTTTATGATAGCTGAAAGAAAGTGTTAGCCTGATGAGTGGTTCTGTGTAGAAAGGCATTGAAAAAACAAGCAAGGTAAGAATTAAGTGGATAATTAAGAGCACTTTTAATGTTCTTGGATACAAAGAAACCAGGAGTTGCTTATAGGAGACACAATAGGAAAGTTAGCCTCTTCTGCTTTGTTTAAATCGCATGATTATTAAGATGTCCACACTAAACCAGCCATTTTATCTGGAATCAGTTTGAAGGTCTCCATTCCCATAAGAGCTTTGTTGAAGTCTTCAGTTGTTAAAACACCTTGCCCTCCAAATCTGGTGGCTTAATGCTCTCCAAAGTGTTAGAGGAATAAGAAAATCTTATTTTTCAGAACCTATAGAAACTGAAACTCAAAAGCCCAAAGTTTATAAAATGGCAAATGAATCACCCAGTAGCAGGTTGCTTTTTGCAGGGTAGAGGACAGGGTATATTTTGAAGATGTCAGGCAATACAAAATACTTATTGGGATGGGTAGTAATAGAAGGTGAGAATGGCAAGTCTTTTTCTGACCTTCCTTAGCCACCAAATTTTATACTGTGCAGTTCCCAAAATTCTGGCATTTATACTTTTAGGCAGTCTACATGATGTAGACTGAGTATACTTTATCTGAAATCTTGGGACCTGAAGTGTTTTAGTTACACAGTTTTCTAGGTTTGGGAATATTCACATGGACTTTACTAGTTGAGCATCCTTAATCCATGCAACAATCACAATTTTAAGATCACACCCAAAAGAAACCCCATTCCTGTTAGCAATCACTTCCCATTTCCTTCTGATCCCCTGTCCCTTTTACTTTTAGTGTCATCAGCTAAGCCTGACTTGGATCTAGTAGTATTACCATCCTCCTCTCCTGCCTCACTGTTCCACACAGACTGACTCTGGGGGATTAAGCTGTGGCTTAAAAAAAAAACAAATAGGGGTGGTTGATTAAAACTTGCTTTGATGAAGACCATAACCATCCAGCTTCAGAAAAATCTCAGATTTCTGATACTTGGGTTCTATGAAAAATTGGTGCAGATACCACATTCTGATGACTAAACATACATAGAAGTGGAACTGTGAAATAAACTTAAGACCTCTTGGCCTGATTGTACTGTTACTTCTGCAAGCTTCTACTGGAACCACATACTTCTTAAACCCAAGATTTGAAAGCAAAGCCATACTTTTTTAATTATTTGAGAATCACAACAGAATGACAAATGGGCAGGATTAAACTCAATAATTCAGATTTTTTTATCCTAAAGTGCTTATTTCACCAGTAATGATAGCAGTCTTCCTTTGTCTTTCTGCATTACCTGATAAGCTGAGGATCAGGTTTGATTTTCAAGGGTATGTGCCTTCCTGCACTGTTGCTGCATGACCAAAAGAGAGTGGGTAATTCTTTTGAGCTGGATGACTCATCAGCTACCCGATGAGCACCGTAAATAATCAAGATCTCTGGTTCCAATGATATTACAATGCATAAAGTCCATACCAAGGCAGTTGTGAGCTCCTAGAGTACAGCAGAACCTTGCAGTGAATAATTTTTTTAAAACTGAGGGTATACCAAAAAGCATTTCTACTTGACTATGGGACATCCTTAAAATTTTCACACAGATTTTCCAATCAAATTCCTGATCCTTCAAAGTACTAAATCCAGGGGATGGGGTTGTGGCTCAGTGGTAGAACACTTGCCTTGCATGTGTGAGGCACTGGGCTTGATTCCCAACACCACAAAAATAATTAAAGATATTGTGTCCATCTATAACTAAAAATATTTTTTAAAAATAATAATAATAGACCCAACCCATGAAGACCGTAAACTTTGGAGGTAACTGAAAATGAGGTCTGGCTTATGCCTTACACCTTTCAACCCTCAGACCTTGGAACCCCAGGCAGCAACTTCAGCATAAGTGTATTTTCTAAGCTTTCCAAGCTGTCAGAATGAGACCAAAAATGAGGGTTTTCTTCTGAAAGAGCCTATCTGGTGTGAATTTGAAATTGAAATATCATCTGTTTCAACTGCTGAGTTAGGTCCCCAAGATTGCTCAAATCCCAGTGATTTGTATAACCGGCTACTCATGAGACCTTTTGATTCTTAGCTCCCTGAGAGGTTGGGCTTCAAATTATGTCATTTTCTTCCCTTGACACCCCCCCGCATTCCCTGTCCCAGCTGGGCCTTTTAAGGTGTGTTTCTCTCGCAGGTCGCTGGGGAACGATATGTCTACAAATTTGTCTGTGACCCGGATGCCCTTTTCTCCATGGCCTTCCCAGACAATCAGCGTCCATTCCTGAAGGCAGAGTCTGAATGCCCCCTCAACGAGGAGGACACCCTGCCACTGACCCACTTTGAAGACAACCCTGCTTACCTCCTGGACATGGATCGCTGCAGCAGCCTCCCCTATGCTGAAGGCTTCGCTTACTAAGTTCCTGAGTGGCTGAGCAGCCAAACCCTAGAGCTAGCAGTTCCCTTTCAGGCAGATGAGGGCAGTGGTTTTGTTTGTGTTCTTGGCTGTTCTAAAGCTTGCCATTTGAATATTATCCGGAGAGCCCAAGCCATCTCTGGATTTTCACCCTGAAAGGCATATACCTTGGCTGGGGAGTGGGAACAGGCAGGGGCAGAAAAACCACCAAAAGGTTGGTGCCTCAACTCTGATTCTGATGAGGTTTCCGGGAAGAGAATGTGGGAATGGAGCCTCCTCACTACCATGGACAATATATGCAAAGCAATACCTTGTTCAGGTTAGTACCCTCAAAATGGGACCGAGTGTGTGACAATCTGTGTTGATCATGGACTACTAAATGCCTTTACATAGAAGGGCTCTGGTTTGCACAATTTATTAAAGAAATCACAAGCTCATAGAAAAGTAGGTAGACTGAGTTGGGGAGGCTCAGACCAATTAAAGGTTAAAAATATGTGTTGAAATTTGGAGAGTTCTTCTAGCTCAATCTGAAATACTTCCCCTTGGTTTAGAAAAAGGGGAGAATCAGTCCTGACAGCTGTTACCCACTCCATGGTTCTCAAATCATAAACCATTGCTACGCTTGGGAACCTTCCAGCCATGTGGTCACCAAATAGAGCAGGCCCCCTCTCTCTTCCCAGTCACATGGCTGAATGTGGATGGCTTTCATTTTAGGGGAAGGGCGATTAACAGTTTTGACAGTATTTAGTTTTGCTTTGATTCGGGGGGGCGGGGGGTTGTTTTGTTTTGATGGTTGTTTTGGAAAAACAGTTTATAAACTGATTTTTGTAGTTTTGGTATTTAAAGCAAAAAAACAAAAACAAACCTTTTGGTAACTGTGCACTGTGTCCCATAGGCAGGGCCGTGCCGACTTATGAAGAGCTGCAGCTTGAGAGGGGCTTTGCTGGGGCTGTTCCTTAGCCACGTAAAAGCCCACTCTGGCCTGCTTTGTGCTTTCTGCACCAGACAACCTGATGGAACATTTGCACCTGAGTTGTACATTTTTGAAGTGTGCAGGGTAGCCTGGACACAAGCATAGATTCTATGTGTATAGCTCCCCGTGTTCACTAACATGCCCTCTCTGGGAAGCAGATGTACATATTACATGTCATGTCCATTTGAAACTTGGTCACCTGGTGGGAACCCTAGGGATTCTTCCCTGGGCATGACTAATGACGATTTCCATTTCATCCGTTTGTGTTTTTTTTTTTTCTTTTTCCTTTTTCTTTACATCTTGGGCTTTAAACCCTGCATAACAGTTCTGTAGGGTTTGAGGCTTACTGGTGACACCGACAGGTAAAACAGTGCTAGCACTCTGGTTTCCTGCCACTTTTTTAAGTTTCTTCTAATTGCTGTATTATATTGGGAAAGTTTAAAACAACCAAGTTAAAGCAGAGTGAAAGTTGAGCTCAAAATAGAGGAAAGTCACTCTAGAGGGTGATGGCACTTGCTGCCTGCTCCAGTGATGGAATTTTGTGCTCCCTGTGTCACTCAGAACATTAAGAAGGACTATGCTGTTGCTCGTGTGTGGAGAAGACAGTGCTGAGTCCAAGAGTGTGAGGCACATGCATTGAGTTGCTTTTCAAAAAACGGAATGCTCCATGATCCCCCTTATAACCAACAGCACATTTGTGAAGAGGTTCACAGGGATAAAGGTGCATTTTATAGATATGGAAAAATGAGATTTTCCTCTATGGGAAATTAGCCCACAAAGGTGTGGAGCTTATATCTTGGGTCGTAATTAGCATTGTACTCTAATCAAAGGACTCTTCTAAACCATATTTATAGCTTTCTAATCTACACATAGTCTATACATAGATGCATATTTTACCCCCCAGCTGGCTAGAGATTTATTTGTTGTAAATGCTGTATAGATTTGTTTTTCCTTTCTTTACTTATCCTGGTTTGGGATTTTTTTTTAAATAAATTTATGCTGTTTTAGCAAGTATGAAAATAATCTTCTGTCGCCTGAGCTGCCCCTCCCCTGCTGTAACCACGTGGCCTGTGCTGTCGCAAGATATAGGATGGCGGCATCACCGTTGCATTCCCATTGGACTCATGCATCTCCTGGGTGGTTTTGGTTGTTTTTTTTTTTTTTTTTTTTCTTCAGGGTTTTGAGGGGGGGTTTTGTTTGTTTGTTTGCTTCTTTTCCAGAGTGTGGAAAGTCTACAGTGCAGAAAGGCTTTAACCTGCCAATTGATTTTAAATACTTCCCCCTGCGCAGGGCTGTATGCATCCTGCCAAGCTGCGTTATATTCTGTACTGTGTACAATAAAGAAGTTTGCTTTTCGTTTAACAAGTGCCTGGAATGCCTCTTTCTTGCCCTCAGTGGTCTAACTTTCAAGCAAGCAAAAGCCACCTTTACGCCCCATACCCTTACCCCTGCCGCACAATTATTTAGCCTTACCAATAGATGGTAGAGTTCAAAGTAGTTGAAGAAACTGTTACCTGGATATTCTAGTTTAAAAAAAAAAAAATCATCCAAAAGGGATGAGAGATAGAAAGATTCTTTTCCTAGCCGGCGGTGAACAGAGATCACCCCACCCCTCATCCCACTTAGTCACCAACTCTTAGTAACTAATTTTTAAAGACAGGGTTCATGTTTGGACCTTGGATTATGTGAAAAGATTAACTAGACTAGGCTAGTTAAAAGATTAACTAGACTAGTCCCAGGATGATTCTATTTTAGACCCTTAGACAGACACCTTGAAAACCAGTAAAAACTTACAAGACCATTTCCTAATTTTCTCCCAACAAGTTTTGCTTTTGACAAGTAAAAATTTTACTCATTATCAAATTTGGTCCCTTTGTAAAAGAAAAAAAAAAGAAAAAGAAATTGTTGTCTTGTTGTGTTTCTTTCTGGCCATTCAACAGTGGGTATCTTTCCTCCAGGTATCTTTCTTGTGAGAGTTTATCACTTGGGAAACCTGTGGAAGGAAATCAAGTTTGCAGGGTTGTGTGCAGGTATTGTGCCCTTTAGTGTTCTGTACCTTTAATTTGGGTTTTTCAAGACTCCTATTACAATGGAGAAATAAAACTGAGCCTTTTTTCAAGTCTGCAACAGAAGGCTTTCTGTAAGTTTATCTACTATCTTTCTTTCACTGGTTTACAAGCTTTAAGTGTAGTAACATCGAGACTGAATCGGTGCACAGCCACTCTGTTTGGAGCTTGCGGGGAATGAATGTCTGCCACATAAACCCCATTAGCTTCAGCAGATTAAGAAAAGATGCTTAGGGAGAAGGGGCAGGGGTGCAGGACAAAGGGGCCCTCCTCTCAACTCCACCATGATAAGGCTTTGACAGTCAGCTCTCCCATTATTCACAGGCTCATTATCCAGCCTGGGCCCAGACCCAGATCGTTAACCTAATGCGGGAGGTCACCAAACACTGCTGCCCTTCTAGTGTTGGGCGCTAGGATAAGGAAGCCAGAAAATGTGAAGTTTATTCTTCGTCAGAGTCCCTTTTCACGAGCCATGCCAGAGGAACAATGCTTATTCAGTTGTCAGATGACAAAGAGGTAGTGTGAGGGCAAAAGAATGTAGTTCTGAAAGCCAGAGTATGTGCAGAATCTCAATTCTGATGCAGCTGGGACAAATGGAAACTAATGTGGAAGAAAAACACTCATGTACCCAGACAGTTGGAAACCTTGGAGAGATAATCTGATGCCCAGCCTTGCAGGTGGCTAGAGCTCAGCGTGTAGCTTCCAAAAATGAGCAAAAATGGGAACATCCAGAAAATTATCCATTTTAAGGCAAACATATATAATGTAAGTATTGATGCTATTCAGCATAAGTGTATATTGTACTTAAAATAGGTGCCCGGAGTGAGGGTGATACACAGGCAAGCAACTGTATCCTTTGATCCTGGCAAATACACTGATAATCCCATTCAAAAGGGGCCCCTTAACTGACCAGCCTTTCCTTACTTAGCATCTCCAATTTAACAGCTGGCTCAACCTGCAGGCCTGGATTTGTTGACCTTGGTGATGAACCTCAGATAGCTAACCTTTGGATACCACTTTACAGTTTACAGAGCATTTTTTTTTTTTAATCTCCATTACCTTTTTGGCAATCTTTCTTAAATGGAATTACTTTGTTGAAATTGAATCTGAAAATACTCATGGCTGTCAGCCTCCAAAATTACTTTACAGTGGCTTTTGTGAAAATAAGACGAGACCCTTGAAGGCTGGACATCTGATTCTGGTCCCTGCTCAATGATTGACTAAGTTTGACTACACAGTCTTGGAGGACCTCTTAGGTCAATAGGAGAACCAATAATGTGCTGCTTCCCAGACCTCCTAAGAGGCAAGGAGGAAAGGAGTTTCTTAGGTAACTCAAGGTGTGTATGTGTATGTGTAGTCAAATTCAACAATTACCTCTAAGCAAGCTCCAAAGACAGCTCAGTCCCACAATTAAAGACATGTTTATCCATTTTCCAAGCACCCGGTAAGTACCTACTAGATGGCAGGCACTGAAGGATACTGAAATTAATGACATTGTCAAACTAAAGGGCTGTTTGTATATGATAATACATGTGATAATCCCTTAAACACTTAAATGCTCTACTTGCCAGCTCCATACTTAAATACTGTGCCACCATCTTACTCTGACTACATTGGCTTCAGGCTGAAGAACCTGGATCCTCTATTGGTTGAAGGTTATACAGGGATGTACTTCCAGGTATCTGTGCAGGGAACTATTCAGTTAACTCAGGTGGCCGTGGAGCATCAATGGAGTGTGTACCTCTAATAATTAGCAGGGCTCTCCTGGATGACCTTATTTCCTTCTCTCCAAGAAGGATAAGTCTCCATCTTGAGTTTCCATCATTCAGTTATGTATCATGTAAGACACAGTGGTAAGCTTTGCGGAGGGGGAGGAATCACAAACCCACCCTTCCCTTTAGCAACTCTCAAGTTAGTGGGGAAAACATTTCTCTATATGAAACTAGAATCTAAGATATAACATACCAAGTATCAGTTATCCAATAAATAGAGTCTATTCTATGCCAGGGACTGGGATTACATCTGTGGAAATGAGAAAGTAAGAAAGAAATGATAGCATTTGTTGGAAAATACTAAGTACTATGGAAAAAAATAAAGCAGGGAAGGGACAGAAGTGAAAGATGGGGGTGGAGAGTTGCACTTTTAAACAAGGAAGTCAGAGGAGACCTCACAGTTGAGCAAAGACTTGAGAACAGTAGCTGCCATGTGGATATCTGAAAGAAAAGTGAAGCTTTGAGCAGGCTTGACATATGGAATAGCGAGGACTATGAAACTGGATTGAAGGAAGTCAGAGAGAGAGTATAGTAAATTATAATCAGGAAAGGAACTGGGGTTGTAGCACCTAGGGCCAGCAAGATTTTTAGGACACCAGTATCTACTCATGTTTGGCTGCCAAGAGTTTTTTGAGCTTAGAAATGACATCATTTGATGTATTATATTTAAAGGATCACTTTGACGTCTAAATTGAAGTGACTAGGAAAGAAGCAAAGATCATTATAGTCTGCTGCAGTAACCCAGGTGGGGCAAGAGGGTGACCAGGGGCCTACGGAGGCCATAACTGGATACATTTTTTAAGATAGATACATTTTTAGACCTGAAGTGAAGAAAAAAAGAGGAGTTGATTATGCCTCCAAGATTTTTGGCCTGAGCACAAGGAAGACTGAAGTTGCATTAATAGAGAATTGGAGCAACAATTTGGGTTGTGGGTGAGGGAAGAACAGCATTCCGAGGGGCATGTCAACTTTGAGACGGCTGTTAGAAATCACATGGAAACACCAATTGGGATGTGGGAGTCTGGAGTTCAGGATAGAGACACAGCCTGGAGATAGAAATTAGGAGTAGTCAGTGTGTGCAAGAGTATTTAAAATTGAGGCTGGATGAAATCACTAAGGAGTAAGTGTAGATAGAACAAAGGGAGGTTCCAAGGACCAAGCCCCTGGGACACTCCAAGATTAAAAGATTGGAGGGGCAAAGAAGACTGAAAAAGACTGGCTGGTGAAGTAGGGATAACCAGGAGGGAGTTTCCAGGAGGAAGAGATCCACTGTGGCAGCTGCCTCTGATGTGTCAAGTAAGATGAGGACTGAGGCTGGATTAGCAGCACAGGTCATAGATGATGTGCATGAACTACTCCATGAAGTGGCAGATACAACAGAACTGATCAACACTATTGGCATCCAACCGGGGACAGGCACATACCTGTCGTCCCAGATACTCAGGAGACTGAGGCAAGAGGATCACAAGTTGGAGGCCACCAGCCTGGGCAACTTAGCAAGACCCTGTCTCTAAATGAAAAGGGGAGGTAGCTCAGAGGTGGAGTGCCCCAGTACTGGAGGGGTGGGAGGTGGGGACATAACTAACCAAAGTAAGTTGGGCACAGGGATCAGAGAAAGAGAAGTCTTCATGGATTTCAAAATCATGGATTTGAGTTCAGCTCAGTCTTTCTCAAAAGCCCTTCCACTTCACCCTCAGATTCTCAAAATCTGAAAGAAGCCTAGAAATTCCTGCCAGATATTGTGCCCAGAGGAACAGGGTAGAAGGAGCCATTCGAGGATAAAGGAGGAAGGAAGGAGCTAGATGCTGTTACCACTACCTTCCCATCCCTTTGGGATTCTATTTATTCTCGTTTTGTGCTCTTAAAATAAATTTCTATTTTTGAAATTTTAAATGTTTTAAAAATAACTTTTTTCATATTACACAATTAGCACATGTTCTTTGTAGAAAAATGAGGAAAAAATATAGCCCAAATTAAAACCTATTCTGAAAACTCAACCTAGAGATCACAGTCAACGGTTCACTGTACAGCTTTTCAGACGACTTTTCTCAGTACAGTTTGTTTTTGTTTTGTTGTTGTTTTGTTTGCTTGTTGCAGTGCTACAGATCGAATCCAGGCTTTGAGCATGTTAGGCAAGCACTCCTCCACTGAACTGTATCCCTAGCCCCTCAATATGGTTTTATAAAAATAAAAAGTGGTCAATCTATATTTACAAAATTTTGTAACATTATTTAAGCAACTCACTTTGAAATCTTTATATATCAAGAAATATTCCTCTACAACACATTTTTAGTGACTGTATGCTGTTCCACAGTAAATGGACAACATGTTCAAACAGTCGCATTTGTCAGAGGCACCATAAATGTCTATTCAAAACCAAGTCAAGCCAAGTGACCTATACCCTCCGCCAAATTAAAAAACAATAACAAAAAATAATTTGGATCTTTTCTAATGTTCCTAACTAGCAGCAAACTCCTCTATTAATTTTACCTTCTAAATACCTTTCAAATCCATCTTCAGCATT